CATACTGATATGTAGATAAATAAACATCTTTGTGTGAGTGCTAAATGAAGCGAATCCAGGAAACCTAAAGGCACACTACTTATGTTAGACGTGTTTCATTGTACTGGTCACTGATGTTTTTACTCTGTCCACAGGAAACAGAGTTGTTGTTTCCATGGAGATGACCCACCAGGGTGGGCAGAATGAGGAGGCTGTTGATGTCACCACTGAGCATGACTTCTCTGAGTGATCCAAATTAATGTTTCCTGAAACATGTCAATCTTCTTAAATTCTGATGCAACTTTATGATACATGATCAGAGAGAGCGACCATCTCATCGGAAGCCTCGGCTTTTTGTTTATTAGAAGGAAAACGTAATTCTGGTTTCCTCTTGTTCACTTCCTGTGAAGCCCCTGAAGCTGTTTCATCAGAGCCTCACTGAGGCTGTTAATAACTTGTTATATATACTTTATGTCTGTCATTAAAAGCTATAAATAAAGATATATTTCCCAAATCCACAATATTAATAAAATAAATATGTATGAAACAATAGAAAAAATGGAGTGGGCCTTTCTGCTTTATGCAGCAACATTTTATGAGTATAACATAAGAACATGAGCAACACCGTCCATGTCTTCTTTAAAAAGCACAGAGACACTTTACAGACACGTGAAATTATAGTTTCATATGACCGAAAAATGCAATCAAATAAAAACACATTTTAAAAATCCTGATAAGCAGAATTAACTAATCAAAACAACCCACAACAGTGTGGACAGATTTAATGGAACTTTACTGAGCTACACATTCATCAGTCATGTTTATATGAATATAAAACCATTTATGGCTGAAACATAAATCATGGATGTATATCAAAAATAAAAATATTCTGAACATTTATCATTAATATAAAATGATGAACTGATAAACTGTTTGAGTCAACGTCCTGACAGTTTGCTGGTTATTATTTGGTAATTGTGTTTTATGACGTGGATCTGTTAGCAACCCACCAGCTAGTTCTTAGAAAACCATTAAAAGCAAAACTTCATGTATAAATCAAACAAAGTACAAAGTAGTTTGTGAAAAGACAGTAGATGTGATACAGACGAAAACTCGCCTGACAGTAGAAATCACCACTTGGCAGAGGTTTGGCTTGTTCATGAGTCATTATGGCACAGTACTGGTTTGGTTTCCAGTGTCTAGAAACCCAACTCAGGGGTCACAGATAAACCATATGTAAGTTTTCTTATTTCATATTTCATTCATACACTACATTTTCAACTTAAAACATACATTTAAACTATTATACACAGAATACTATTTATAAAGTGCTTTGCAAACAAATGTCACCTGATCTTTGGTGTTTATTTTTAACAGTTGGTTTGTGTTTTTGTGTCTCGTCTGAGCAGAATCCTGAACTGAGATCAGTAAATAAAGCTTGTTTCCTCTTATCCACTTCTCTGGTCAGTGTCTCAGTTTCACTATCGGTCAATGTCACTTCTTCTTTGCTTCAGCATTAATAGTCATGTCTGATAACCTGCAGTACAAACACGAGCTGGAACTGTGAATGTGGAGAAAGATGGAAGTAGAAATCAGACTCATGCTCTGCAGGGTGGCCAGTGGGCGGGGCCTGTGTCCGAGCACGTGGACTGGATGGAAGACCAAAAGCTTGCTTTTTCATAAAATAAATTCATGAAAATAAATGAAAATATTAAATACTGACAGAGTTCCTCTGATGTATACAACAAAGTCAACAGTTACTTTAAACTGCTTCACAAACCCGTTTGTATGATTACAATCACACACAGTAACACCGTTTTAAAAATAATAAAAAATATGGCTCTTTCATGTCATAGTGTAAAGAAACAGGAGACACCTTTCCTCCAGGTGCAGACTTGAACCTTACACTGGAACATGTTGCAGTCTGTGAGCAACATGTTCATTTGTTTTTACAAGCTGGAAAACTAGCCTTACCTCCTGTCTTATTCATAGCCTTTTCTTTTTTTCTTTAGGCCACGAGCAGTTGTCCAAGCATTTCACTGCATATCGTACTGTGTATGACTGTGTATGTGACAAATAAAAATTTGAATTTGAATTTGAATTTGAATTTGAATTTAGCTCCAAAGGGACATGAAGGGTACATCAAGTGGTCTCAAGTGGGCCATTGGAACCGCTTGAGACAAAAACAATATCCATGATGTCGCAGGAGGAAATTATGTTTTCTAAAAGTGGAACCAAAGAAGAATATTCAGGGAAAACTAAGTTGCCCTGATGTAGATCTTGTGGTACTCCAGAAGACAGAAGATGAACAGATGAGATGATCAGATGAGGATCATCCTGTTCCAAATGTGAGAGAGAACAATCAGTCGGACATACACAACGAACCAAACCCAGATCTGCATGTAATTTGAATCAAACATTTCTGAGAGGAACGGCTGTGGACGATGACTTACCTGCCAGCTCTCCTCAATTTAACATCAAGTTGTTTCATTAGCCGTGAGAGGAATAGATTCATAAATCCTGGTAAAGGGAATACAAAACAGACGATCAGGGCAACCAAATGATCGACATCTGTAACATTGCTATTTCCAGTTTAACATGACAATCAGATAATGATTCACTTGATTCAATTTCGATATATAATAGAAATAAGACAAACTTGATCAATAAAAGGGGATTGAAAGATAGATGAGCAATGCTTTGAGTGTTCAGTTCTGATGTAAGTCGAGGCTTTACCAAATATTGGATTTAAACCTGCAGGATGTGCACTGATGCGTTAAGACTACATTTTAAATGATACAGCTTTAGTCTTTACATTTCACGTCAACTTTGCAACACATGACAAAGAGAAAGAGGGAGGAAGATAACTTTACACAGAGGAAGAAGGTCCATCAATTATGGATTTTCTCTTCTTTCAGAAACCTTGAAACAGCTCTTTAAAGCTTGCACCATGTTTTCCTGCAGAGGAAACAGACAACTGTGATTCAAAGTCTCAGTTAACTTAATAATAATAATACATTTTATTTGAAAGCACAGAACACTCAAGGACACTGTACACAGCAGAATAATAAAAAGCAAGATAAAAACAATCAGTTTACACAATCATAAAAGCATGAGACATAAAACAAATTTAAAATAGCAGAGTGGTTACACACATCACGTGGCTCTTAATGTGTCTTTAACCTCGGGTGTGATTCATCAAGAATATTTGAATCACTGGAATCAACCAGTGAAATTGAAGAAATCTATGAGAACCTTTCCTCATTTCAACACAAAAATAACACTAATAGAT